CAACACGTTTCTGTGCAAATTATTCTTGCATTCGATGATTCAAGCTCGTTAACATCTTACGAACTGTTTGTACATTAACGCCAATGTATAAACATTTTGCAAAAAGTTTATTGTATATTCGAATCTAAATTAATATACGATGAACTTGTTGGATAGAAATTTAATTTTACGAAACGAATAGATATCCAAAGAATCTAATTTACTAATTTGATATTATCTAGAATAGTTTTGAGCAGAACCTGAATATATTTCTACTAAATAAATTTTGATGTTGAGATCTTTTTTGTCACACGTTACAGTTGTGGGGAAAGTATGTACGATATTTGAGTCTCATTATTTGCTATCTTGAAGCTTAAAGCCCCGAGCGCAGGGAAATATCAAGGTTCTATTGCTTATTGATTCATTATCGCGAAAATATGTATATTGGTTTGCTCGGAAAATTTGCAGGAAACTATATAGATAATCAAATTTCTTTTTCTGCATAAATTGATTAAAACGTTTTTCATTTTGTAAAAAAAGATTTGTAGCTTCGAAATATAAGAATTATAAAAAATTCGTTTAAAGGATACCCTATTTTCGTAAAAAGTATTTTTATTTTAATACTTGAGAAATTATTATTGTTCTGGTAATTATATGTATTATTTGAAACTCGAATACTTGAATTTCACACATTTCAGTACTCGAATATTTGAAATTCACGCATATTTTTAGTATTCGAAGATTTGAAATCCGAATACTTGAGTACTCGTTGATAAGAAATCGAATTATTTGAGTGTATGAATATTTCAGTATTCAGTAAAAATTTCTATAAAAAATTTACTATTTAAATACTGGAAAATTAGAAATTCGAATATTTATGCATAAGAATATTTAAAATTCGAATATTTGGTATAATAATGTTGAAAATTCGAATATTTGTGTACTCGGTCATTGAAATTCAAATTATGTAATATTTTAAACTATGAGTATTTAAATATTTAAAAAGAAATTTGCTGTTTTATTTTGAAAGTTTACAACTATTAAAAAATACCGATTATTTGTCCACAAAAAAGATTAATTTACTTGTTATTTTTAAATAACGAATAAATCAAATTTATTCATGAACTCTCTATTCGTTATTCCAAATAATTTGTACCCAACATTGTTTCATTTTAAATGTTAAAACAAGTACAATATTTTGCAAATATCAGATAAAAATGTAAACCCACAGCGTGCATCAAATTTGTCCGTAAGATGTATATTACTGAACAGCCTTCAAATTTGACGAGGTGCCTAGATCGAGCGACTGGAGAGAATCTTTTTTATTGGTTATCGAATTGCGCTTGAAATGTGCGCACCATGAAGAAGAAATCTTGGAGGTTATTTCAGCTGATATATTAAAAATAAATTAATATTATCCAACGATTCAACAAAAAAAAAATTACATCTTAATTACAAATTAGTTTTATTTAATTCATTCTCAACATGGTCAATCATCACGTTACGTGGTTGAGTAATAAAACCAAATGAAGCTAAAGTTAAAATTCGATTCAGAATTGAATAAAAATTACCGGTTCATATACATCAGCTTGTAAACTTAATCTCCAAGAAATCTTAAGTTCTTTTAATTTCATCATTTTCTCGTTGCCATGAGTGGATCGCGAGATAATCGGTTTTGCCACTGTACACACGTGTGCACGCTCGCGCATGCTACTCAACTCATTATCAGTTAATCAACGATAAACCGTTCGTTCTCCTATAACGCCAGTCCGTCGAATACTGTGTTTGCTTAGAAACTACTTGGCGGGGTGAAATCGACGATAGGAATGGCCGGAGAAACGAAAGGGTGTGTTACGAGGAGGAGGATGGTGAATGAAACGTGATCATTTAATGATGCGAATCTGTTAACATCGAGAAAGCTTCTTTCTACTGACACACTGCAAAATGCTCTTACGGAAAAGGACATTTAACTAGAAACTAAAGAATTAAATTATATGTGTTCAAATTTGAAACTGAGCTTATAAATTTCTTTTACAATCTGAAAGTTTTATAAAAGAATAATTAAATTTTATGTTATAAAATTATACGTGTCAATGTAACAATTTTAAGCTCAACTGAATGTTTTAAAAGTAATTTGTTATTTTTCATACACAGTATTTGTTACATTGGTTCGCGGAAAATAAATGATGGTAATGCTAGAAAAATTACGGATCAGACATCTTAGGTATCTTAAATTACAGAAATTATTGACGTGTTTTTGTCAAAATTGACATGTATATAAATTTTTGTCAAGGTAAAGAATGCTGAAGATAGCTGATTTTACCTTATTACTATGAGGTCAGTTTGAACAATAAAAGTTACAAACATACAAATACGGTGCAATATACATATTAATATTAAATGTAGTTTCAGACAATTTCAAATAAATATTTAAATCAAAATCGAATAACTAAGTAAGAATCGAAGTAAGAATCAATCTTTGATATACATAACACTTTTTTGCTTGAAATAACATTTCAAATGGAATTGAAGAGTTTGCAAAACGTAAGCCATTCAATTCTTCATAAAATAACTGCAACAAACAATGGATTTCGTAAAAGTAGTAAAATATCCAAATTTCTGAATTTCACACATTGTGAAATTTCAAATGTGGAATGCTCTACATATTTCACACAATTCATGCTAGCTCATGTGTTGTATGGAACATGCTTGAAAGTATGATATCACTGACTTTAATAACTATTTTACAGTTTAGTAAAATGATCTTTCAAAACTTTCTATTTCACAAAACTTGTAACATGTGCAGTACACGAAAAAAGATGTTTCTCGATATTCGCAGAGTTCGCAAAAGAAAAAGCAGGAAACATCGAATTAAGGATCATGGAAAACGTAATATCACAAACATTACAGGAAAACGATACGCAAGATGATGAATCTTGGTAGGACAATTATACAGAGATGCTCGATACCGATCGCGATACGAACGGCACCGGTACACCGAAATACACGACGTTACTTACAATATTCGTACAAGTGCTTAACACTACGCCCGGACCACACGATCCGACGGAGCTTCCCCTAATCGATAAATTGACTATTAATATTTCCGTAGAGAAATTTTACAAATCAGTCGAGACACACGCGTGGAGATGTTCCAAGGTGACAACACTTTCGTCGCGACAGGATACTATCTCCTTCAAATCGCGTTGAGCGTTGAAGTCATCCGTGCGATTCAATGGATCATCGCATTTTCTCTTGCTTATAGATCTTGTTTCCGCATCTTTTTGAACTCTCGACCGGTTCGACACTGACAGAAAATAAATATTAATACTACGTCGAGAGTTTAATCGTGAGCTTTTCTCGACAGCCTTGGTATCTTTCATTCCCTCCTGTTTGTTTCTTTCTTCCACTTTTTTTTTGACGTTTTCTTTTTTAAACTTCTCTTTACGTTTCCTCGTCTGTATGTAATTCTCCTTTTCATATATATAATATACATATATGTATATATTTATATTTATATTCATTATTTATATCGCTATATAATATTAATTGTAATAATTACATATGCGCGCGGTAACTCTTTGTTTTCTCGCGGACTTTCGTGCGCACCACGTCGCTGTACTCTTTTTTGTTTTTCCACGTTCTATATATATATATATATTTTTATTTATATTTATTTATTTATTTATAAATTCATATTTATAATATGTATATATTTATCGTAATGTCAATAATAATACTATCAATAATTAATGAGGATGCTGGTGATGGTGACGATGACAACGATGAGGATGGTTCTCGACTCGCGACAGCTAAACCTGCTCTTTCATTAACCCTAAAGAACCCTTAGGATCGTTTGCATTACGCGAACGAGGAAGGCGTCATGAATCATTCTTTCAGGATTCCTTTTAAAAACACGACGATACTTGTCCAAGGGTGCGTTACGGAACCAGATAGCCGGTGCGCGTTCGCGTTGGGGGAGAAACGGGGTGAATCTTAAAGACGAGGGTAAGAAACGATTAAATGAGAAATGCCCTTAAGGTACGACTCGGTCGGAAACGGAAACGATCACGCACACGACGACGATGCTGGCAGTAGTAACGTTAATTGTAAGCGCATGTTTTCACGTGACGCTAAAAAGAAGTCATTTTAGAGACATCTTTTTCAAATTGTTTTACGTAGAATTATGTTATTCTCCTACACGGCGTTAAAAGTCATGACTTTCAGTTGCCGCGGCAATTTGACACGTTTTTCGTAGAAGACACATTTTTTATGACTTAATTTAATCATGATTTTAACATTTTTAAAATCTGGAGTATGAAAAATGTACGCGAAGAAAGGAAACGTAATTTGAAAGAGAAGTGACAATTCATGGTTATAGATAGTTTTGTTTAAAGTTAAGTTCGTCAAAATACAAATATCTTTAATATATATATGAATGAGATAAAATATTTAAAAAAATTGAGACATTTGTGTGTATTTAATATTAAGTTAAATCATGTAATTTTTAAAAGCGATAAGCTGCCATATTTTTTATAAGTTTATAAAGTTTGTTTGATAAAAAATGTATAAATCATTATGAAAGAACTTATTACATTATGAATTTTTTCTTAGTGTGTTTATGTAAATTGTTTCAGTAGTACATTTTGTAGGAATGGAAACAATTCACATTTTGCAAAATCGATTCGATGTATGTAAATAAGTCTTAGCACCACAGTAAAATCAATTTCTTCAATAACACCACAACTTGGTACAATAGAAATTAATCTATTCAGTGCTCATAATATTTAATTTAAAAAATTAAAAAAAAATCGTGAAGAACGCGGTTCTTCTGTAGAAAGTTTATGATTTTTAATATACGGAATATAATGATAAATATTACATAATTACAATAATATTACAAGATTATAATATTATAGTTAATAATATACATACAAGAATATGTATATTAATTTATGTTTCATCATTCATTTTGAATTTCATTTTAAATTCTCATTGACTGTAGGTTTAATATTAGAATTTCTATACAATATCAAACGCCGTGACAACATAATAATACAAAAAACTCGATAACATCAGTTGATATATGAATTTAACAAATGAAAACTAACGTTTTTCTTGACAACAAAGTCATGACATATGTCGTCATTTAGTGTCACGTGAAAACGAACCGTAATTCCCGTCGAACCGATGCTGTCGCGTCGACGATTAATAATTATCCGCTCGAATACCGAGGCATCGAGATCGGTGGTACCGATAAATAGTAACTATGACTGTGACTAAAAATAATGAATTGTATATATATATATATATAGATTTATTTTATCGATAGAAAAATCTCGCGTGTTGTTAAGACACGCACGAATTCACTACGTATACGCGTAACGTGCTATACAGATAGGTATGCAACCTCGAAGGGTGGCGTAGCCCAAGGGCGCGTTTGCAATGGCCGCGACTCGACAGACATTTATTGCAACAACGTTCGTAACGCGACGGGAACAGAAAGCCCTTTCGAATGAGATCACCGTCGACGAGCGGCTGCGTTTACTTTTCTTTAATTTGCATCTTTCTCATCGCGTAAAATACGCCACGTACCGAAAACCAGGACGTGGCTCGATGATTATTCAACGAAACGGAACGTCTTTGTTGCTCGGGTAACTTAAAACACCATGTCGATCAGTTCCTTACAGCTTCGTGGTTAGGTATGTTCTTCTCGAATAGTTCATAAGAATTCGCATGTTCTATTGGATAGTTCGTTTTTCATTGTTGTTTTAAGATCATACGAGCACTATTCTTCCTGTAGATGTATGGATTGTGTGAGCTTGTGGATTCTTCCGAGGATATACTTTAGTCCTCTTCTTCGCTTTCCTCTGCAGGCCCGTACATGTCAGCGAGCTTGTCGAATCTAGGGCCCCATGCACCTAAGTATTCGTACTCGTGCTGTTCGTCGTCCGTTCCTGTTGATTTTAAAAATTATAGCTTCATAAATTAACATACCGTCTATTCAATTTTTAATTCCTGTTTAGGGGTAAATCAATGTTTGATATGCATCAAATATAATACTAAAGGATTTGAGCATCGTGATTTTTTAAATTCTACATTTTTTTAAAGTAGCATTTCTAAATTGTGCACCTCTTCCAAACAACATTTCGTCTACACGTTGCTTCGTATTAATTAATAAAAAAAATTGGATCATTTTTCGTACATTTACTTCATAATAGATCAATTTTTCTACGCGATTTATATCGTAATTTATACAAATGGTATTGATTTTTCAATGAGCCCAGGAGAAATATAATTTTTCCTTGTTTGGTTTGACTTGTTTTGGAAGATCGATGATAGGAGTATTTGCCTTGCGTTCGATGTATATGTATACTCCTCATTAATTTTGATTACTCATTTCGTTGAGGATATTTAAACTAAATTCCTCAATTAAAACGTTAATGCACTTAATTACAACGGTTTTACAGTAAATGTAAACTACTACTGACAGTACTATTAACTACTGAAAATCGAAGGAGTAAACTTATGCTTCGTTTTGAAATTAAACAATTATATCTATGATGATCGACAATGAGTAAGAGAAAAATATACAAACCGGAAGCTAAAGATGATAATGAGCCTGCGATGCTTCCGCCGCCCTCGTATGCATAATTTCGCAGATCATCGAACGGTGGTGCATTTGGATCACTGTCAGCTCTCTTTTTATGATCTTCTATGAACATCCCCACGTTTGGTTCCGGTCCTAGCGGATCTGAAAAAATATTTTCAAGTAAATTATTAAAATGAGAAAATAAGAAATAATTATAACACATGGATAATTAAAACATTATAAAATAAATAAGATGACTTACAAGCTATTTTACACGGTGGTAGTTTTCCACCCATTTCCGGTATCGGGCCACCAATAGGAATTTGAAGTGGTGTGATGTCGAATGCGGTCATGTCATCCTCTCCGCCACCTTCGTCATCATAATTGATAATATTTTCCCTCACATCGTCGTCAGGTCCAGGATATTTAATGTGAGACTCCCTTCTTCTGTTGTAAACAACAAACACTAGGACGAGAACTGTAACACAAAGTATATAATTAATTGCTTATATTACAACTTTCGAAAATCAGCACTGAAAAATTATACCATATTAATTTTCTTTAATATGTTAATTACTTTTTATCATTATTGATGACATATAATTCTCCAAATTTTAATTAGTTTCAAATTTGAATGATGATTTTTCCACGACATAATTTTCGAAATTTTATTTAATTATGTTTGAAAATTCAGTATTATTTCATAAGAAAGTTATTTTAACGAGCGTAGTTATAGATTAGTGACATTTGTTGCAAAAGATTTCTGTGGTTCAGCTAAGTTAATTGCAATTTGTTTTAATGAAACAATTTTATTATGTTCCTTAATATGCTTACCGAGAATAATTAAAAGACAGACTAAAATGGCTGCTAAAGCACCCATACTGAGTTTCAGCGTCTGACCCTCTTGAACAAGTTCGCAGTTTTCTCCCCAGAAACCGTCGGGACAAATGCATCTGTACCGGAATCTAGGATCCTGATTGATACATCTGCCTCCGTTTAAGCAGGGATAATCTATGCATTCGTTTTTATCCATACATCCTTTATTATCTGGCGATGGAATTCTTCCTTCACCGCACCTGAACATACACAAGCAACAATTGGATATGGGTGGAAATGAAATGAAAATTTTGTAGTGTTGTAATTTTGAAAGATCTTAGTTTATGGGTATACGTATAAGAAGAAGAAAGTGAAAGCATTGTAATAGGAGGGAAGAAAAGAGACTAGAAGGGGTTTTCCTTGTCGAAATGTTACTGTTGAAATGACAGTCGATCATGTTAAGTTGAAATTAGAGTCGAGTGTTGCTGTGTTGGGAGAATTGAAATGTTTTGTAATTATATGATATGTATATCTATTTAATTGAAATTTATATAATCCTTAATCGTAATTAATTTTTCATATTTCATAATTTTTTATATTTTTAATATATTATATTTTATATAATGATACTTTATGATTCATCTAATTTTAAAGATATTTTATTCGATATATTTATAGATACGAAAGGATGATTGTAACAACATGAATTAACGACATGAATGGCACATACGAAGTGAAGCGTGTTTTAAAATTCATAGGAGGCAACATAACGTATAAAATTGCTGTGTATTTTTCATTTTGCTCATTAATTCATTTACAATGAATATTCTATATTTTTCAACAGAATTCCTTTTTGCATTTAAGGCATGTAGAATTATTTTGAAATAACTCAACAGCAACAAACAATTATTTATACAATTTTGTTAACTATATACCAGTAATAATATTTAGCTTATAATATGCGTATAATAAGAATATAGCCATGTGTTTTGTGGTCAAACGCTATTTGTATATCAATTCCAAGGATTTTCATTCGTCAATGTCTCCTTCCAGGCAATGCAACGAGAGTTGACTATAACTATGTCGCTTTTTTCCTACTAAGCATAATTAAATAATGTACCATGTTTAAAAAAGACAGCAACTTCTTATTATAATCGAACTTGTCGATAGATTCAAATCTTTACGAGATATTTTAAGTAACTCATTGTAATTGGTCATTATTCAATAATAAAGATTTAATTAGCAGTTACATCGTTTAGGGTTTTGTTTATTGCAGTAATAAATATTGTAATACTTACGTGCAGTCGTATTCGTTCCAAAGATCAATACACTCGAATGGTTCTGGGCAAATAACGTTGGCACAGGGTTTGTTTGACGGGCAATTTCTTTCCAAATTTCTCGCCATCGTTGCCTGACCCCATTGTGTTCCATTCATGGCAGGTGGAAGCGGAAGATGCTTTCCTTCTAATCTGATATCGTCCAGACATCCTATTGAAAGCATATAAAACGAATAATGTTTAGAAGAATTAATCATAAGCCACTGTTGGGTATAAGAGTTCACCATGATTTACCACAAGAGTTTGGAAATTTAATCATTTTTAAGCGTAAAAATGTAGAAATTTGATCATTTGCAAGCTTCAAAATGTGCAAATTTATAATTTTGAAAAATCAAAAGTTTAGAAATTTGATCATACTTAAGCATAAAAATTTAAAAATTTGGAAGTTTTAGAATAACAAAGCAGCACAACTTTTCACATATCTAAATATGGAATTCGACATTCAGCAAAAATCACATACTTCATATATTAGAATACTTCATTATTTCACAGATTTTGAGAGTATGTGCAAATAAGGTTTATAATAGAACGATATGAAATTGCGCAACATGTTATACAATAATGTTGCCCGATTCGCAATAAACAAAATTAAAACTTTTTGAATTATTGCATTATTGCATTTGTATAAAAATATAAAGATCTTGTGCAGATTATATGTAAATAATACTTCAGAAGTTTATATCGCACTGTTGAATAACTATGCATTCATATTGTACTTATTTTACACTTTTTCTATACTTTCTTATTATAAATAAAAAATACCCATAGATAATTGCAAAACAGTTTCGCTACATACGAGAAATATTTAATCGAAGAAGTAGTTAAATTCAATAAGAAATAACTTTGAAGTATATAGTCACATCCGTTTCGAAATTAATATTTGTCACTGAAATCTTTTTTGCACGCCACAGTGTAATTACAATACAATACAATAGATACATTTCTAAATTATTCCATATATAGACAATAAAAACATAAACCATACGTGTTATGTTAGCTTACCTTTCTGATAATCAGCGTACACTTCAAACGTTCGAACACCAGTGTACTCAGCTTTGCCACCTGCATAAACTCCTTCCTGTTTGTCAACCAACAACCATTGGTGTCCATCAAAAGAAAAGGTTTCGTTGAATCGTCTTCCTTCGCCTCCATCTAATTCCAAAGTAGCCGCGGATCCATATCTGGATACTTTGACCGTGTGCCATTGTCCATCATCGACAGCTATGGCAGTTAGCCAAATATCGCGTTCTTCGGTTCTTAAACTGTTCAGATTGTACCGGAAGTGCAGTCTGCTGTCCTTAATCTACCAAATCAGAATATACACCGCATATTAATACTAATACTAAAAGCCAAAGATTGTACAACTTAATCAAGTGTATTCGATCTTTTTTAACACGGTGAAAAAATAATGATGATATTCATATAATATGGTTCCATTAATATTTTTGCGGTTTAATAAACTCGGACAATCTGTAGTGCAAGTTGTAATACAATTTCAATACGGCAGAAATTAACACGATCATTATAGTTTATGTGAGGTCAAGTTAGATTACTTGTACGACTCACGTTCTTAACTCATCAAGTGTGTCTTCTACTGAGGATATTAAAGAAGTTATTCAATATTTATATGACAGAATCACTACACCGACCAAAAGATAATGAAATAGAAAAAGGGACAGAAAGGTAATAAATGTTAACCGTGTTAAAGGAAAAGTATATCGAATAATTGAATAGAATAGACAATTTACCTCCAGGATTGCATATTCCCTGTTGTGTTGATCACTGACTCTAAAAAGTTCGCCATGAACCTCTCGAGTACGGAATCTTAATTGAATCTGAGTGGAGTATTTGTCCGGTTCAAAGGACAATGCATATTTCACGTAGCTTTGCGGTTTGAATGACGTTGGTATAGTGGGCGTCATGCAACCTGGACCAGTCCATCCAGAATTGCACTGGCATCTGGCTTCGGTGAAGCTGCCTACGCAAGTACCGTGTTCCCAGCATCGGAATGTGGATTCCTGGTTGTTGCAGATTTCTTCGGTTTGTGGGCAACCAGCTACGCTGTTCCTCGAGAGTCCAGGATGAGCTAGATCGTACAGTTTGCTGTTGTGGAAGAGATTCTTGATGCAACCCTCGAAGCCTTTGCCAACCGGCATGTGTTTCCATTTGTAATGAGTCGGGTCGAATTGCTCGACGTATAAGCCACCGATTTGAAGAGGCGCGTTTACGTTTAGGTATTCATTGAAAGGTGGTATGGTACCCTGTGCCTGGCAGCTGGTGTCGTTGAACTCTGGAGGAGTGCCGTCTTCCGGCTCTGAGATATTTGCAGACTTGCAGTAGTCAATGATCAGTTTCACAGTCTGAAACAAGAGGTGTGATCATGTTTTATCTTTTATTTTGATTTATTCAAGTAATCGTGTTGTTTTCGAAATTTTGTTGTAACCGAATTTTAATTTCTCTGACGAAATTACATCATTTCACTTTTGAAGGCTGTGACATTCTTTGACTATTATTTGGTGAAATCAAATAAATAATTTTTGGAATAAACGTTTTTAAGTTGTAGTACTATTTGTTATGTTGTATTTTATATGACAAGGTGATAACAAAATTAATTTCTTTTCATGAATTGAAAATTTCATAAATTGAAAAAAAAGGTTTATACCTCTGTATTCCAGAAGATGTCTAATCTGTGCCACTCTCCATCGTCTAACGTCGTTCTTGGTTTAACTTTCAGTTCTAGAGTACCAGATCCGAAATCTATTAACAGTCGAGGTATTCCACGTTCCAGTTCGACGGATATAAAATCTGTAAACACATTCATCAGAAAACAATTACATATAGTTCATTTAATATTGTATGTTATTGTTTGTTCCAAAAAGTTTCTGGTGAAAAGTAATCTGTAAACTGTAGCGTAGATATACGAGCAGTATCAAATTTATAACACCAACATATAAACGGCTTAAAAAAATTCGAATATTCAAACTGGAAGATAATACTTCTGAAGCAATCTCAATTTATTCAAATTTTTGAAAATATTTTCATCAAAAAATTATTCATTACTTTCAAATAATTTCGTTTATTTTAAATTTGTATATTTAAAAATTACTAGAATAATATAAAAGTCATTTTTTATCTAATTACATATTGAAGTTTAATTAAGTTTTCAATAGAAAGAATCAAATATAAGAGAACGATACATTAATTTTTTTGAAAAAATAAATGTTATAATTTAAATGGGGTTTGTACGATTTTGGCGTGTCACTCATAGTAGGAAATATTGTTTGGTTAAATTATTTCATAGTCACTTACCAGAAACCATAATTTCGTCCGCTTCAGGTGGAACAATAGGTCCATTGTACAAAAGTAAGCCATCAGGTTTTTTCGTAATGAATTCAAAGCTTAAATGACTGTTGTCACACATCTCTAAAGCAGGATACCAAGCCCAACCATTGCCACGGAAACTTCTTGCAGTTTGTTGGCACCTTGGACCATTATATCCAGACGGACACTGACATCTAAATATACAGCACAAAGAAATGATTACTGAAAACTTTTTATTGATTTTTATGTTAGAAATCGTTTTATTTGTTACATAAAATAGCTATTTATACTTTTAAATATAGACAGTGGCAAAGAAATTAACGATATCACAGAAATATTTATGGGACAAAATGTAAAGTGATGGCTATGAATTTCTTCAAAATCCCAATGTTTCGAAATCCGAAAAATATCCCAGCCGCGGAATTTTTTTAAAATACCTCATGGGACGCGTAATTAGTATCAAACGATACTAAAAATACACATTGAACACTGGGAAAATGCTCCAATGATAAATTTTGCAAAAAAAATAAAGCAGAGCAAGGAAGAATTATATGCTCACAAGATAAAAAATTAACAATTCGTTAACGTCAACCGTACTGAAATAAACTTTTAGATCGACGTGTACATTTTAAGCACATTTTACTGGTTAACTCTATGGTGGGCGATGAGTTAAGATACTTACGATAATCCAAATCGTCCTTCCACGCAACGTCCGCCGTTGTAACATGGACTGCTTCTACAAGATTCCCCTTTACTGAAATTTCGTGCTCCGCATGTACATTCAGCGATTACATCCACCCGTACACCAACAAGGGCAGTTTTGTTTGCGTTCACCATGTAAGGCAAACTGCTGATGTCCAATGTGTTTGTGCAACTACCCTCGCACACTTCGTTTTCGTAATAACATTCGTCGATGCCAACCATCGTTATATTGATACCAACTTCCTTCTCGATCTAATTCAATTGAAACAAGATTTCCATTACACTGAGTTCATTGTATGATAGATTTATAAAATGGCAGTTTGCGAAAGAAGCACTTGTGAGCGTTGGAAATATTTATTCTACACTAAATCGGTCGATGTATACTGCACACTTTGAGACTAAAAACAGGGTTTAAGAATAAATAAGCTAACATAACATACATTAATCTTGACATTAATTTATCTGAATGAAAGTTAACTTAGATTTCAAGAAAATTTTTACGAATAGTAAGAAACTTGTTAAACGGTCATTTTGACTGGGGGTAGGTTTAGTGTTAAAATAAGTAGCAAAGTGACTGGCAAAGTCACTGGAATCTAGTGGAATAGCAGATCCACTTAATGTAATATCACGTGTAATTGTACGTGGCATTGTATATAATATTTCAGTAAATAATATTTCAGCAAAATCTATCAACATTCAATACAAATTTTGTTACAAATAAAAAGCAAAAATTTGAATTTTACTTGAAAGTGTGTTATTGAGAAACATTGTTGCATTTCACAATGTTAAAAGTTTCTAAAAAAAAGTTAAATATTTATATTTTTCAGTGAAGGTATTTATACAATATTACTTTCGCAGGATTTGTCATCAAAAATATTTTTTTTTTTATGCAATATGTGTTAAAGCAAATGTTCAAAAGCAATATAGTATTGAATGTCTTTTCTTCCAAATTATTATTTTCAAAATATGTATGTATGAAAGCAGTGTGAACACGTAGAATGTACGTAATATAGAACATGGATTGTATGGAAACATGAACCTGACCATATTGGGTACATGTTCCTGATTAATATGTATTATACAGTGGAGAAGACCAAGGCAAGTTGATACAGGCGTTGATACAGTGGCATTGTCTGGGCTCTGTGTATTCACGTTGAATCAGGGCGAAACAATTGAACTTTATTATTTAATTATTTATTATAATCGAACGTTTACTGTACAACGCCCTTTTCATGAAAAAAAGTAAATATTTGTGTTAATTTTTCAGTATGTTTGTATTCTTTACAAATCTTGCACATGTTCCATATTAGGTATTTTGTTTTTGTCGCAATTTTCTTGTCATAATTGTTCTTGTCTTGAAGCACATTTTCTTGTCATAATTTTAATACATTAAATTTCCATATGGTCAATTATTAATATATATATTTTAATGTTCTCCTGTTTTAATATTTGTTTTAAAGTTACGTATTCCATACTAGATGCAGTTATTCTTTACCTTATACGAAATATTTTAGATTCAGTAAAATATCTGACAAATGCCTATCCACTATCTTCGCTTGTTAACAGTTTGCTACACTCGATTGCAAATATTCTATATAAAAAAATTTACTACGAAATTCTTGTATTTAATCAAACTTTAGTAAATATCATAATTAACAAAGTTATTAAAAATATTTCTTATCTCTTAAAGTTAAAAACTTTGGTAATATCTCATTTTCTTATACCACTGTTCTTTAAATAAGTTTTTAAAACAGAAAATGTATATCAGTTTTCTTCTACGAGAGTTAAACAATGCATTATTTTGGCAAACTGAGAAAATCATGCAATAGAAGATTAATGCGGATTATACGTCTATTGTATAATTAGTCAATCTCTATAAACTTTTGATAAAATTTAATTTATCGTGTTCTTGATACGCTGATCATGTATTGTAGATTTTAGTTGAATTTAATTGATTTTATGTTTGGTTGGCTAATATCGCCTCAGATTTACGGTATAACTGATTTCGATTTTGTAGACTTTTGCAACATGTGGTATTTGCCTAGTTGATTTAACAGTTAATATGCATTACAGATTTCCGTCAAATGTGGTTAATAATTCAGCTAGTTTATATGGATTATGGTTTACGCGTAATATAATCGATTTGTTACCTAATGTAGACTTCCGATAAAATTAAATTTATCGTGTACATTGACTTACTAATTTACACGAATGGTAGATTTTGGTCTTCAGTTTATTCTATACTTGATTGTCTATTTTACGTGTTACGTAGTTTCTATCAAGTTTAGTTAATTTCGTGTTTAATTGGTTAATTACTTTGAATTATAGGTTCCAGTAAAATTTAATTTATTGTGTAGTGCATTTGATAATGTGGAGTATATTCTACCTCTAATTGCATCATTAGTGCGTTAGACTATAATTTATCTAGTGGTGTGCATATTTGGTTTGGAAATGTTCGTCCTCAATTCAGAATACAACAAGGTTGTACGAATAATTTTATATTAAATTTTAAAAGAATTTTTCACAACTCAAATTAATATAGAAAATTTGAAACCTTGATCAGCTGCAATATTATTTCAAATTTTCAAATTCTATTTCAATTATTGTATTGTAATTGTACTTCAAATTGAAATACAATATATTTATTTGAAAATATTTAAATTCGAACAAAGTTTTAATTACACGTTTTTATCGAAACATCGTTTTATATTTTTCAAATATTGCTCAATTTACAGAACATTAATATGTCAAGTTATTCAAATGTCGAATTTATTGTTGATAAAGCTTGCTACTTTTACACAATGATTTCAAGATAAAAAAATTCTTCATGCTGTAACTGAGCTACTTAAACCTTCGTTGCCTTACAAGTATAATTATCGTATTAATAACTTACCTCTTCCCGATGCATCAGTACGATTCCGTTTAACCTAACAGGTTTGTAATACGGTGACCCATGAGCAGCGAATCTAACATCCGTTAAAGGTGGATGCATTCTACGTAATTGGACACTGAACACATCAACATTTTCTCTATCGATATTCAACAAATGGGCCAACTTATCTCTCAATAATTCCGCTTTACTGCGAGATAAAGTTTGCGACTGTAAAATGAATAAGTAAAACAATAAATTAACGATCATTTCAATTACAAAGAAATAACAAATACAAATTACTCGACAAATGATATACTTACTTTATAATCCCAAACTCGAATAAAATCTTCGTCTGTTATCCCAGATATTCGAACGGAACCAGAGTTTAACACGGCTTCGTGAGGAATACTCTTGACGGTAACAGTGACGTTAGCTGGAACGTCTGTCTGAGTGTGTTTTCGATCGTAGACTTTGAAACGAAGATGATATCTACCGTCGTGTGTACCTGCTTTCATGTAAATCATACCAGTATCCTCATCCAATTTAAACTGTGTATGTTCTAAACCTTCCCAATAGAATTTCTTGTCCGGCAAATCCCAGTCGTCCAAATCGTACACGTATACTCTGCCTATCTCGGTGTCCGGTGATTGTCCCTGCAAAATTAATTAATTTTTACTCTCTTACTAAGATTTTTAGTCGTTCTAAATAGAAAGTCCAAATAGGAGTTATATGTACAAATTTTCATGAATATATACAGTCAAAAGTTCTCATGAAATTCATCCTATAATATACCAAGTTACATGGGAACAGAAACTATTATATTTTTCTGCAATGTAAAAATAAAATCAAACTCCACCATCGATGATTGCAATAATTATATAATACGAACAGCAGAAATAATGCACGTTAAAACGTTATTAAGATTTTTAGTTGTTCTAAAATAGGAAGTCCAAATAGCAGCTATATTTACGAATTTCAATTCATACAATCACAAAATTATTTTATAAAATGCACTAATAAACCAACTTGCATTAGAACAAATCTATTATATTTCTATGCAATGTAAGAGTAAAATCGAACAGTCACTAATCGTTGCAATAAATATACGATACGTACTGCATAATTATATACAAAAATGTCTTTCGATCCGGGCTGCATTTTGTTATCATTAACGTCCCCGATAATAACTGTTAAAGTACTGGTCCCAGACATTGAAGGAGTTCCTGAATCCTTGATAACGATCGGTATTAAGTACTCCTTTTGTTGTTCTCGATTGAACGATCGTAATGATGACACAATGGCCATGCCGTCCCCGTTTGCACCCTCTGAAACGAAACAAAAAACAGCCCTTGTTAGCGAGAGTTATCAAAACTACGGCTAACAATCTTCTTTCGGAAATGAGGATGAATCGATACGAGTAAATACTCGATACTTTTGTTCTGATTTTCTGGTATAAAGTGTAACTGGATTCGGAGCGTGATTGAATACGAAATTCCAACGATGGAATGTGAGTTTCGAGGAGATATAGAGTTCAAACTTCGTTCAGGGTTATAGAATTCTAGCCCGAAATTAGTTTTTCGGTTACAGCACGAGATATAAAGTGTTTCTACTTATTGTAATATGTAAATATTTTTGGATTTTAGAACTTTAAGATTGGGGAATTTGGGCGTTTGGGTTTTGTTAAATTTGGAAACTTCAGGATTTGGAAATTTGAGAATTTAAGAATTTGGAGATTTGGTCATTTGTAATCTTGGAAATGTGAATATTTGGAACTTTTATAACTCACAAATTTGGTGATTTGGAAATTTATAAGTTTGGAAACTTGAAAATTTGAGTGTTTAGAAATTTCAGAAGACTCACTGTTATCGCTTTCAACTTTGAAACTGGCTCGAATCACATCGTCCGCTTTTGGATCCATTCTAAATGTGAAAGGTGGTCCATTGCTCTTCGATCTGTCATCGTCGTCAGTTGCCAAAATTTCCACTACTTTCTTCGTTTGTGCATGTTCTGGAAGTATCGGCCGATAATCCTTCAGGAACCTCGGTGGATTATCATTTATATCCTGGACGATTACTGTTAACGTGGCTGTCGCCGTCTTAGGAGGAATACCGTCGTCGATGGCCAAAATTTTCACCTGGAAACATTTTTGGAGCGAATCATAATGACTATTTGTCTTTAAAGATTAAAAATAAGAGTTTTTAAACTTTAGATTGTGGAACGATATTTTTCTAAACCTAAGATATGATTTTATTTAAATTTAACATTAGATTCTTTTTATGGATCTTGTACCATTTCTCTACAGAAATTAGTATCTACATACTTAGATCTACATACATATAGTATCTACATACTCTACATACTAATCTGACAATATGTATATGAAGACTTTTCAATATTTCAATAAATATTCTTGTACCAAACGTTTTAGAAGTTTGACTGACAACTAAACTAAATCAATTGTTCAAAAATATCCGACAACGAAAAAGTAGTTTCTGCTTTCCTTTTATTAAATACTTCTACAAGTTGGTATTTGTTAAATATTTTTCAAACATTTCAACACCTCGTTACACTAACAAGACGAAATATAATAAAATATTCCTTGTTATTGTTTCAACGATTGTGCCACGAAAGTTAACATCAGAAGTTAAGATGTTCATAAATACGACAAATAATTTCAATAAAGTAGTAAATATTTTTTAATTTTAATTAAGATTCGCATTAGATAAATAAAATATTAAATTATTGAATCTGTAAGGATATCATATATACAGGGTGTCCGCGCCAAAGTGTTACACCTTAATATCTCATGAACTATTGATGTCACGAAAAAGTGCTTATATGGAAATTGCAGGGTAAAAGAGGCCCTATGTTTTGGCAGAAGCAAAATTTTTTTATTGTTATTAATGTAAAAGATATGATGGTGAAGTTTCGTTTTTTTAAATGGAACTATATTTTTTTCTCGATCAGGTGATAGTGCTTTTCAAGACGAATTCATCAAGGTTTTATGTACTTACCCGATTTTTATTAGTTTTCGAGATATAACGCTTAGAAATTTACTGATTTTCAGCAGTGACATCTCGGTTTGACGAGTAAGTCATAAAAACGTTCTTATTGTTACGGTAAGTGCCGCTGGTTTGACTCTGCCTGCCGAAACAGATAGGCGGGGTGTATGGTCAAAATGGCAGGTCCGAAGAGTAAGAAACGTGAAAAGTATTGTCCATTACGGTTTAAGTTTTCCGTATCGAAGATGATATTAATTGTAATTTGGAAGGTTGGGACATTTATTTAAATGTTTCAGTACAAGGTAGGTATAAAGACAATTTAACAATATAACTGACTTGAAAAATAGAATACACAATGCATGCGTAAATATCCCGTGCGAAATTATGGAAAACGTCGAGAACGAATTTGTAAAACGTATACAAACTTGTATTTCAAATAGCGGAAAGCATGTGAAATAAATTTTTTGCATATTATTTTTTGTTAAATTGTCTTTATACCTACCTTGTACTGAAACATTTAAATAAATGTCCCAAACTTCCAAATTACAATTAATATCATCTTCGATACGGAAAACTTAAACCGTAATGGACAATACTTTTCACGTTTCTTACTCTTCGGACCTGCCATTTTGACCATACACCCCGCCTATCTGTTTCGGCAGGCAGAGTCAAACCAGCGGCACTTACCGTAACAATAAGAACGTTTTTATGACTTACTCGTCAAACCGAGATGTCACTGCTGAAAATCAGTAAATTTCTAAGCGTTATATCTCGAAAACTAATAAAAATCGGGTAAGTACATAAAACCTTGATGAATTCGTCTTGAAAAGCACTATCACCTGATCGAGAAAAAAATATAGTTCCATTTAAAAAAACGAAACTTCACCATCATATCTTTTACATTAATAACAATAAAAAAATTTTGCTTCTGCCAAAACATAGGGCCTCTTTTACCCTGCAATTTCCATATAAGCACTTTTTCGTGACATCAATAGTTCATGAGATATTAAGGTGTAACACTTTGGCGCGGACACCCTGTAGAAAATGTTGCTGTTGAGTGAAAATTAAAAAAATGGAGAACACATGGGATTCAAAAGAGCTTAATAGTGATTGCATCGAAAGATCATGGTTTGATGGTTTTACCTGATGTCGAGGTGTTTCTTCGCGATCGAGACTCCTCTGGATCGAAACGGTCCCGGTTTCGTTAATTGAAAATTGCCTTTTGCGATCCGAGCTTCTGTCAATCGTGTAAAATACTTTACTCTTGCCACTTTGATCAGGATCGGTGGCTGTGAAGGTTTCAAGACTGTCCCCAATGCGAGCATTTTCTGGTACGGTTGTTTCGATATTGGCCATCTTGAATTGCGGTTGGTTATCGTTTATATCTCGCAGTTTAACGACTACCCAGGAATAGGCTACGTGGTATTTATCGTTGTCATTATCTTCACCCTGAAGAAAATCCAAGATAATTAAAAATTGAATAAAATATTGTTAGACATGTATATAAAAATTGAATAAACAGCCACAAATTATATGATTCCGAATATGAACGCACCTTGTCATTGACTTGTATTCTAAACCTAAAACCGTTGCTTTGCAATTGGTCCTCGTAATCTAACGGTTGCACGATCTTCAAAGAACCTGTGCCATCGTTGTTCCTCACCATAGTGAATTTATCAGCCCCATAGCCGCTGTTTTCGATGACCTGTTCGTTAACAAACAAGTATCAACGCGTTAGACACATTAGAGAAATGTGAATTTTTATTTCAGGGACAAAAAGTACTTGCTGAATTGTTATTTCAAGTAAAAAAGTGCTTTCGAAGATAGGTAATAGGTCTGTCACTTGTTTTAATGGAAATCATTTTACATTAACAACTATAATATTGGGAAATGTATGATGACTTCCTCAGCGAAAAACGATTGAATATAAATTACTAGATTTATTAAAAACAGAATCAACGGAAAGAATTTTGCATAATTTCTGTTTAATAGTGAAAACGTTAAGAAAGCAGAGGCAAGCAGCGTACCTTATATTGGAATTTATTAGTTTCGTCCTCGTCGTGCACTGTGACCGTAAGAATCGGCATTTCCGGTAAATCTGGACCTTCGGTTTCGTCTACTTCTGTAAACCACTCATCTTTTGTGAACTGAGGCGGCATATCATTTATATCTTTCACTCGTATAGAAGCTGTCCCTGTTCCTGTATATTAACGAACATTCAAAAGATTATACGTGCAACCTTTATTGTACAATTATACAATTACGTTATTGTAATTGTTTGACAACAAAGAATAGTGCAATTTTTAAACACAAAAACCCGTTTACATAAATGTCTACTAATTTTCCTACATTTTGAAGCACTGTCAGAAATTTCTATATGTTCGTGGAAGAGTTCATTCTATTAGATTAAATATATTCAATTTTTTTCGAACCGTACCTTTTAAACCGCCTCCATCCATTGCCACCACTTGTATAGAATAATCGGGGGTGCGTTCTCTGTCCAAGCAGCAAACGGCTGTTGTTATCACACCAGTTCCTGGATCGATTTGGAAAATTGGTGAACCGGTTTCTTCTTCGATCACATTCTTTTCAATGGAGTATGTCAGTCTGGCATTCGAACTTTCAGCTGGGTCATCGTAATCGACCGCCGTCATAGTCATCACAACCATTGCTGTTAACAGTATTCAAGAAAATTAGCCGAAATTTCAGCATAGTATAATTTTATTATAGTTAAAAAAAAGTTTTATTTTATATATTCTACTCGAGGAAACATTTATTAATTTATAATTTATTTTTAATGTATTTACTGAATTACTTCATTTGATTGATTACTGATTTACTTGTGTTTGATAATTAATTTTGCAAACTATACAGTGATCGGCATTCGAATTTGTAATTCTCGTTTAAATGATGAAATTTAGATATTAAGTTTGTTACACCAGAAAGAAAGACATAATTATTTATGAAAGTTATATGCTAACACAGCAATTTCTGAAAGTATTATACAAGGAAGAGGAAAATTTTCCTTTTCCCCGAAAAAGTTAATAAGTTGAATCTTACATGAGGTGCCATTTTCTGTGACGTTGCCGAAATAAATTCCTTGAGGGAAGGTTGGTGCATTATCGTTGATGTCCTTCAAATTCACCTGGACGTCAGCGTATCCGACTAAACCTTCTCCTCCTTCGTCTTGAGCAAACACAGTGAATCGCCATTGGGGTCTTCCATTTGGTTGATCCCTGTCCAGTGGCTGTAATGAAACGAGTCTTAAGTGACGTACAATGAAAGACAATAATAGTAAATTACGAATTTCGGTAGAAGATTAAACGAGAAACTACTGTAGAGTAATAGCAAAGGGAACGCAAGAATGTTACAATTCATTCGACGTAGGGGTTATAGTGATATGCTGTATAGGGTGCAGGTTAGGGATAGGGTTAAAATGTCGTCTATTAGGGATTACATTATGAGTAGGTTTATGTTGGGTGCTAATTATTATTTGATTAGATCAGGATTGTGTAATATATTTTTACTAAGAATATAATAAAGTATCACATTACTATAAGAACATAGTTAGGTTATTAAATTTAATCTACCTTTAATACGTAGATTTCTCCACTTGTGCGGTTGATATCGAACTTGCTGTTTGCTGGATTATCAGGATCGATACCCTGTCCAGTTAAGAAGTAGACGATGTTGTTTGGTCTGTCTTTATCGCCATCGGTAGCTATGACCTGCGTGGAAAACAGACATAATAAAACATGTTAATTAACCTATAATTTCTTCTCAACACTGCTGCGGTATATTTATATTACAAAAAATACCTTAATATGTATAATAGAAAATATTTTAACAATTCTAAGATTATTCTGTATGAAACATTTCCATGATATTTTGTGCTCTTGAAAATTTGTAACTTTGAAAATATGAAAAATTAATTGTCTTATTTATAAATTTATAATAATCCCAGTTGAATTTATGAACTTGGGGACGAAAAAATTGAAAATCTAGGAGTTTGCAAGATTAAAAATGTATAAATTTGGGGATTGGGAAATTCTTGAATGTAGATATTCTATTGTATGCCTGCCGCATAAAATGGGTCATTTAACTATATTTTCTCGGATTTGCATAAATTTTAACGATCCTTCGTGAACTTTTAAACGTTGGTACCTGTACAATGTCCATTTGAAAGGGTTGAATGCCAGTTTATATAATTAGAAGGAAATTACAAGTCAAGAATATTAATTACCTCAAGAACGCGTTTGGGTAGACTCCTGTCGTCTTCTTCGGTGATTTGCGTCCAGTAATTTGGTCGCTTGAAGACAGGCGGATTATCGTTTACATCCTTCACGTGTATCACCACGGTCGTGTAATTTTCTTTCAAGTTATCCGACGCAGTCAGGCGAAGCTCGTACTGCAAGATTAAAGCGAGATAATTAAATAACATTTGAAACGGTTGAGTTAAGCTACTTGTTGATGGTGGCCATTTTCGAATACAGCAAAAATTTGTCACTCCAGTAACAATTTTATAAATTAACACCGTAAATGGTTAGAATTTAACTTCTGGAGGATGAAGTTTCAAAATTAATTAATATACCAATATTACTACCTTTACCTCTAAAATATAAATATATTAGCGTATGAAGACTAAATTGAGTTAACAATTAAATGTATAATATTTATTCTTAAATATAAATATGTACATATTTTTGCGTATATGCTATCTTTATGTATTTCGTTTTGTTTTAGTAGGTGGGTCACAATCAGAATTAAAATTCAAATTGTAATCTCTTATTACGATTTTGTAACTGACTGTTTCATTACAGTCTTTTATATACATTTCAAACATCAAGACTCTAATTGTTAAAGAGCTATAGAGAATTATTCCAAATTAATATCATTATAAAACTTCAAAACTAATTGGGAAAATAAGTTGTCACCAGTTACTTTTTCTATTCGTGTAGATCAAAGATAATACTATTTTGTGCAAAACAAAAATTTCCAATTTGACGATTTAATATGATTCTTCTATCAGAAAGAAAATAAATTACAGTTTAATTTATGTTCATTCATTTTTTAAAGCCACAACAAATTTTTTTTTCGAAAATAAAAGAATCATCTCGTGAATTGATTACCTTTCAAACGTTGTGAACTAAACAGGTAAACGATCATAAACGGATGAAATATTTTATACACGGCTCCGTTAAAGATAAATAAAATTCGATATGATATTATTTCAATGCTTTCCAGGAAGAGAGGTCACGATTTCAATAAAATTCATGGAAGTAGCGAATAAACGAAGTAATTCTAGGAATTCGAAAATCCTCTTTCAATAAAGCTCGCAATGAAATTAACGAAAAAGATAAATTAATATCATATTCATCAAATACGATGCCAGAAAGCCAACAAACCTAGCTACCTTGTAAAATCAATGAGAAAACAGTCCAGTTTCGTGAGAGCTAATTTTATTGCACTCTTTCAATTATATAGATAAATTAATTTTTCCAAACTAAGGAATTAATATCCATCATGATTAAACAGTTTTTCCAGCTTTCTATCACAGTTTTCGAATGGTCTCGTTTAACAAAAGCAATCAGATAAATACATACATAACTGTTGAATATTAAAAAAAACGAAATACACGCAACGTGATTCAGTGTTATATAGAGAGGGACAATTTGATCAAACAGATGATCTGATTTCTCAGTGAAATTTACAATAATACTATTTTGTTGTCCCTATAAAACGAAAGACTTATTAAAGTAGTGACAAACGAGTGAACAGGAAGCGTGCAATAACCGCGAAAGTTTTCGCGCTATTTCACGGATTTATTGGGACGTGAGTAATAAAACGAAAACGACACGGTGGTTAAAAGGATTAGCCATGGACGTATGAAATGAAAGTATTCATTCTTTCTCCCCCATTTTTCATTCGCTTTTTATATTTCATCTTTTTTTCCACTCTACTGTCAAGATTTTTTTAGAAAATTAATGTACTAACCCTTTTCCTGGTCTCGTAATCCAATGCACCTGCGACGTAAATTGCGCCGGTCATATTCTTCACGGCGAATGCACCACCTACGTTACCGCTCGTAATCTCGTATCGAATACGCGAGGCTGGAAAAAGCAAAAAATATCGCATTAGATTGAGTCCTAGTGACAATTATAGTGACATCGTTTCTTGTTTTGTTATTTGAATGCGAAATGCATTAACGAATGTCTCTGAACCTTAATGCATCGGGGTTCATACACGACAAAGGATGTATTCTGTTTAATAAGAAACATGAACCTAAAATTTGATATAATTAATTATTTCAACTATATTTAGACTATCAGTCTAAATATGGACCAATTGAAGTATAGAGTCAGGGATTTTACTAGGGTAGAACAATACAAAATTGATTCAGAAATAAAGAATGTCCAGAAAAGCAAATTAAACATGCTTGCATCCGAGTGTTTAGAAGCAGTTGGCCATTAAATATATTTCAATCTCAGAATAATTTCGAAATATGAACAATCATGGTTCAGTGACATAAAATAGCACGTAAAAGAAAAATAATGCGTGAATTTTAAAATTCCAACGTTTGTACCATATTACATTTTTACAGAAGCAAACATCAGACTTATTACGTTTCAACGTCCACAAGTTTACGTACAAAAATCTAACAGTATAATCTCATTGCTAACAGTATTCAGAAATATCTCACCGTTTCGCGCTTTCAACAGACAAACGTATCCTGTTAAAATGTTGTCATAAATATTTACGAAGTCCAACCAGACAGGAGAACTATTCAATATTCTACTTGTTTTGTATTGGTTCCTTCGACAATTGATTTTCAGTTCGCGTTTAATTCCAAGCGCGAAATTCATCACGCCATCGGTGTTGAAATTTTCAGCTAGTAAATTTCCCAGTGGAGAACGTGTTCAATCATAAATAACAAAGGGAAATTAACTTCCTTCCAGCTTATTTTAGCCGTGGCTCGAGGCTCGAAAAACTAGATCCATAAACGAATTCTATTGCAATTTAATAACGCCTAAGGTCGAAGTTCCTTAATTGAGGTCCACCGGGTAAATATGTTCCGCGAGTTTGACCGAGCCATCTGGTATTTAAACTTTCGTAAGCAGTTTATGTGCTTTTGCAGTAAGACCCAACGAGGTGGATGGATTTTCACGGAACTTGTGAGTCGAGTTAAGGATACAGAACTTCGACCCGCTATAAAATCATTACCAGGAATAGTGCGAAGATACACGTTGAGAAGTTCAGCTGCTTCCGCACGGTAAATCGCCTGCTGAACTGTAAATTATTATCCCCGGGCGACGATCTTTTCATTTATCATGCTGAACGCGAGAACGATGATGCGTATCGAAAATGATACATGCTATTGTAAAATTCTAATGTTACATTTTTCATTATCAGAAATATTTGAATCATTGAGACCGCGGATTATTTAACCGGTTAACGGCGTTTAACGTGTGTATGCATGACTACCAAATGTTCAATTTAATACGGTCGATGTTGACGAGTTGCTAATTGTTTTATTGAATAAACATATAGTTCTTTCTCTCTTCCCTTTAATTCTTTCGTAAAATTTATCGTAGAAGCATTTGCTGTGCGTTCGACGTGGTATTCGTTACTGCTTGATTTCAATTGCGCATTCCGGGAGGAATTTTGAAAACTAAATTCCGCAGTTAACTGGTTAAATGTGCATACTCGCTGGTAGATCGAAAGAGATTTCCGTCTTCGAAAGCAGCTTTCAATGCTTTTTGGACTTTTAGACTTTGGGATTTGGTAATTTTGATAGGTAGTTGGAAACTTTGGGATTTTTGGGGAGTGGAACTTCGCGACTTTGAGATTTGGGAGTTACAAAATTTTTGGAACTTGAGTTTTAGAGTTTTATTATTTTGGAATAGTAGAACTTGAAAATTTTTGACATTTTAGGAGTTGGAAACTTTGAAAAATTTGGAATTCTAAATTTCGGGATTATGCAGTTTGAAAATTATTCTATTTGACAACATTCAGACATTGAAAAATTAGGATTTGGAAATTTCGGGATTATGTAGTATGAAAATTATTTGATTTGACAACGCAACGTTCAGATATTGAGAATTTGGTGTTCTTAAATATTTGGCGATTTTGAAACTTCTAGATTTTTAAATTTTGCAATTTTGAGATATACAGAATTTAGAATTTTAAGATTTTACAATGTTGAGGTTTCGGAATTTTGGGATTTTGGAGATTCGAATTATTTGGATTATGAGTTTTTCAGAACTTCGAATTACTGATTCTGTAAGTTTTAATCTTTGAGACTTTGATGATTTGGAATTTTTCAATATTCTAATTTCTGAAATTTAAGAACTTGAAATATGGAAACTTTGGCATTTTGAAACACCTAAATCATAGAGTTTTGGAGTTTCAGATATTTGAAATTCTGGAGCTTATGAATTATGGAATTTGAGATCTTAGTAACTATTTGAGTTTGTAACTAAGGAAACTTAGGATTTTGTAACGTTGAAGTTCTAAAATATTGGTACTTTTGAATTTGTAGATTTGTGACATTGAAGTTTTAGAATTTTAGAACTTGGAAATTTCCAAAAAAATTTTGGAAATTTGAAGTTTTGAAAGTTGGAGTTATGTATTTTTAATGCTTTGAAATTTTTGAGTTTTCAAAATCTAGGGAATATATTTCACAGCTGATTTTAGTAAATTTAAACGTTGAATATGAAAATACATTTAGAAACGCAAAAATATTGAAAAAATGATGGTTTTTCGGTTTTAATATAAAGATCTAAAATTTTAGCTGAACACTCCTAACATATAATAGTCTGAGGAAAAAAGTAGGAAAAATATTGGGATTTCAGAAAAGGTGTATTTGTTCGGATTTTCAGGACATACACTGACTAAAATTGAAGCTAAATTGACTGAGGTCCTTTCATACCCCAGTGTGACCATCTTTCCATGGTATCTTTCGGATACACTCTTTCTATACGACAGTTCACTACAGTGGTTTTCGCAAATGTCATCGTAGATTACATTGCGCCACTATAGTGGTTCACTCATTTGGCTCACTCGCTCACCGTTTGAATTGAATGATAGTTTTCATACGTTTTGATTCGCACTTTTTTGCCTTCACCACATTTTATAAGAATATTATCAAATCCCACAAAAGCATTTTACATGTAAATAAAAGGTAACGCCAAGTTTAGGCACCATGAGACCACCCGTTGCACTAATACACGATATTGGAAACATTTGGAAATTATATATTTTGTGAATTTTCTGAAAAAGTAAATTATCGAAGTTAAAGTATCATATCTTTGAGAAAAATTATAATTTAATCATCAAAAACTTCATTTCAATGTACTCGCGTGAAGAACAACATTGTCATACATTGTGCTGTTTCCGAGTAATTCGTGTTGAACTCTGCCGTACAGAGAAACAACCCCGTGTGAAGTTGAGTCGTGCCTAAGAGGTTAACGAAAATAGACTCATACGAAATGAGATATCTCATGACATAGAGTAATACGAAAACGTGATACGATGTTCCTTTTAATTTTTATTGAAACAAGATATGCAAATCAGTCATGTATTTTCTTATAAAATACACATTAACAGTTAGCATATTATTTAGTTTAATACGTCATAATAAAAGGACGACATTCAATTATTTATTTTTACCTCCATTAACTCATAGAATTTTTCTCGTTAAACTGCATAAAGTAATTGTAATACAATAGATATCACATTTCTCATAATATTTTATGTTGTATATACAATCGTTTCTAATTTGATGAGAATAAAAATATCAAACTTGTTCCAAGAGATAGGAAAATAATTTTATATTAGATCGTGTTAAATATTATATGCCACGTTGTACTTGCATGCGTGAATATAATAAAAGGGAGGTAGGAGTTGAAAGGTTTTTTCAATTTCGTGCTTTCTGATGAATGAATTTTAATTTCACTTGAATATCTCTGTTTCGGAGAGATATGTTTTATTTCACATTCGACGTAGCGCGCGAAGTTCAGCTTTGTCAAAGAGGTTAGGGTTAAATGTTTAAAAGATAAACACTTTGATACAATAATGTTTATGGATGTACTTACACTCGTCGTGATCTTTGGCGGTGACAGTAAGGACCGTGTGCTGAATATCCTCATTTTCGTCTACTTCAGCCTCGTAGAGGCCTTTATCGAAGTAAGGTGGATTGTCGTTCTTGTCGGCAATCCCAATACGGATGAATTTCGTCACTGTAACAGATGAAACGGAAAAGGACACGTTAAAATCTCGTTCCGTTCAGGATTCTGCTGGCGAGATATGAAAGTCTTGGAATACAGGCAATCCTTCTGAAAAATTCAGTGCTCGTATATCCTCGTGATATATCTCCTCAAAATGCAAATTCAATTCTTTGCTTTTTTTTAGATCCTTCGTTCTCTATTGTACGGGATTCACGGACGACGTACTCGAGAACAGCTTTTCATTTTATTAAATGCGTAGTTCTTTCATACTACCAGATAGGTAGAAAAACGTACAACGTTAACGAGTCTATTATAAACCTAAAAATTGTTGCAACAAAATACGTTGCAGTATTTATACATTTTTTTTATGAAAAAAATAATATATCATGTTGCATCAATTTTTGGGCGAAAAATACGATTATCTCTGCGGTGTTCATGTGCACCATAAGCTGCTTTGCACCATCATTATTTTTTCATGAATAATGCATTTGTAGTTAAAATTTTTTAATTTAAAATTTTATACAACTAACATTGTTAAACTGAGAAATTTACAAATTTAAAAATTTGAAAAATTTGAAAAATCTGAAATTATTAGTCTGAGAAATTTGTTAAATTTAAAAAGTTTTCAAAATTAAAAATTGTTGGACCGAGAAATATTTAAATTTAAAAATTTGTATAATCATAAATTTTCAAATTTAAATGGGTGCAAAATCAGGAATTGGCAGATTATGAAATTGTTAAATTAAAAAATTTGCAAAGTCAGAAACTGTCTGACTGAGAAATTTGAAAATGGAAAAATGCACAAAATTAAAAATTGTCAAACTGAAAAATTTCTAAATTTCAAAATTTGCAAAATCAGTCAATGTTAGATTAGAGAAATTTCCAAATTTCCAAATTTGTAAAATCAGAAATTGTGAGATTGAGAAGTTTTTGAATCTACAGATTTTTAAGAGTTGTATAGAAGAATCTTTTTTTATATCGCTAATTATTGCAGCGTGAATTAATAACACTGTTTAGTATCAATTACTGATCTAACACAGTCCAACATCGAAATGTTTAAAACTTTTGTAGTTCCGAATGTGATTACGAATTTTTCCTAGAAAATTAACGGACACAATATTTATTCTTCCCAGCATGAAATAAAAAATGCTAAAGCGTTTAAGTCCTAGTAAAATTACCTCTTCCTTGATTTTCATTTACGTATACGTACAAGATCTCAAAAGATTCGCGAGTTGTTCCAGCAATTCGATATTTCACGGTTAATTTATGCGGATAATTTAATGGGAAATTCATGTTCAGTAATTTATTAGCTTCCGCTGCGGCCCGGAGATTTGTGAGGAGAGGAAATCGATCTTCGCGATAAAATGGTTAAACGAAGACAGAAGTTCATTACGAAAGCAGCAACGAGAATTAATTAATTATAAAATCGTCATTTAGTTAACGAACTGTCATTCTTTCATCAACATACCTTGCTATCGCAGATTAATAATAAGAACAAAAATAATCTGTCAAAGAACCATATTACTGCGGATATAGTACATTAAATAAATTGTATAAGTACTTTCGGTACACACAATTAAAATTAGTACAGCATTTATTGTGTTTAATAATTAGCACTTCTATCAGTTTTGGTGCTAGATATTTTTCTTTAATATAAAATATATTTACGATATTAATTATTTATAGTAAAAACGAATGAGTTTCAATTAAGCTAATAGAGAAAGTTATTAGAGAAACTCAATTTTTGTTAGGAAAAAGGAGATTCTGCTTAGATAAAAAGAAGAACCATGTGTGTTTATATTATTTTGATCATATTAGCCAAAGAGGGCATTTTAATAAATTAATGATTTCTTTTGATTTTTGCGATTATCACCATCTCCTAAACTAAATAATCAAGTTAATCTACCGAGTTTTATTTTTAAAGGGTAGTATACCGATTGACGTTTACAAAATTTATATAAATTTCATTTCATATCGAAAAGTTATACCCTGTTAGCAACAAGACCTGCACATAGTGACGATAATCAGGTCATTGTGTAACATCTATGGAATGGTCATCGTCAGTCTTCATAGTAGGACATTATCGTTAGCGCCAGAAAGTAGAGCCAAGCTGATCAAAGCTCCAATCGTGAATGATATTAAAAGCGATACACCGCCAGAGCGCGAAAGTTCGAAAGACATTCTGTTGCTCTCATAACGAATGAAGTCTTTTCCTATTTTATAACTGTCGACCGTTGAAGTCCAGGTCTTTAACTCTCCTGAACTCTAAACTATCCTACATTTATCAGTGTACCCCGCAGGGTATAACAAAAGGTATATCCATCAGTTATATCTCATCCACTTCACAGTAGCTTTATTTTACTTAAAAAAAAGTATGCAAAAGAATACGAAAAGTGAAGCTACCGTCGCAAATATTCTATTGTTGATAATTGATTTTAATGTTTCTACAGTAGGAACTTTTAAAAAATCTTCAGTTTCAGTGTAACTAACTTACATTACATATCTACTAAAAATGTAGCTTAAAAACTGTTTACTTTGGTAACAATTAATGTTTCCTAGAAAACAGTCTACCACATGTGCCAATTGGTTAATCGACGAGCTTAATAAGGGTTACCGAGGCATTTTAACCTCAATGAGATCATGTTTACCGCGTTTCCATCTTCATTCTCGACACAGGGAAATTCGGGTATTACCAGCTTGTGCATAATCGGCAAAACGACATATGCGAAATACGTATCTATGCGTCGTTAATTAGCGGATTATTAAGATGAATTCCCGTGTCAATTTGGCGAACGCCAGAATGTACTGCTGCAGGCAATCTACTTCAATACACCACCTATCTTAGGAACACGAGTGGTTTAACTCGATTGATTCTCTCTGCTCGACAAATATCTCTATAATTAAACCCTCAATGTTCGAATCACGTCTCTCAAACATACTTTTAACGAGTCAAACACTAGGTGAACATGTCTATGCATATCACAGCATAAATTCTGTTTTCGTTCGTGATACAGGATGATTACCATATTTCATACCTCCACAATTTCAAAGTTTCAAAATTCCGAAATCAAGTTCTAGAACTTAAAATGCTAAAATTAATAAATTTTTAATTTAAGAAAAGTTTGAGTAAAGAGTTATGTTTATGACGAGGAAGGTTCTTCCATATTTTGTTTTTTTTTTGCGTTGAAGGCACCTAGGACATTATCGTTAGCGCCAGAAAGTAGAGCCAAGCTGATCAAAGCTCCAATCGTGAATGATATTAAAAGCGATACACCGCCAGAGCGCGAAAGTTCGAAAGACATTCTGTTGCTCTCATAACGAATGAAGTCTTTTCCTATTTTATAACTGTCGACCGTTGAAGTCCAGGTCTTTAACTCTCCTGAACTCTAAACTATCCTACATTTATCAGTGTACCCCGCAGGGTATAACAAAAGGTATATCCATCAGTTATATCTCATCCACTTCACAGTAGCTTTATTTTACTTAAAAAAAAGTATGCAAAAGAATACGAAAAGTGAAGCTACCGTCGCAAATATTCTATTGTTGATAATTGATTTTAATGTTTCTACAGTAGGAACTTTTAAAAAATCTTCAGTTTCAGTGTAACTAACTTACATTACATATCTACTAAAAATGTAGCTTAAAAACTGTTTACTTTGGTAACAATTAATGTTTCCTAGAAAACAGTCTACCACATGTGCCAATTGGTTAATCGACGAGCTTAATAAGGGTTACCGAGGCATTTTAACCTCAATGAGATCATGTTTACCGCGTTTCCATCTTCATTCTCGACACAGGGAAATTCGGGTATTACCAGCTTGTGCATAATCGGCAAAACGACATATGCGAAATACGTATCTATGCGTCGTTAATTAGCGGATTATTAAGATGAATTCCCGTGTCAATTTGGCGAACGCCAGAATGTACTGCTGCAGGCAATCTACTTCAATACACCACCTATCTTAGGAACACGAGTGGTTTAACTCGATTGATTCTCTCTGCTCGACAAATATCTCTATAATTAAACCCTCAATGTTCGAATCACGTCTCTCAAACATACTTTTAACGAGTCAAACACTAGGTGAACATGTCTATGCATATCACAGCATAAATTCTGTTTTCGTTCGTGATACAGGATGATTACCATATTTCATACCTCCACAATTTCAAAGTTTCAAAATTCCGAAATCAAGTTCTAGAACTTAAAATGCTAAAATTAATAAATTTTTAATTTAAGAAAAGTTTGAGTAAAGAGTTATGTTTATGACGAGGAAGGTTCTTCCATATTTTGTTTTTTTTTTGCGTTGAAGGCACCTAATTGTTGAAGGCGAGGAGATCCGTGGACGAATAAAGTGTCGTAATTAATTATGTACAAAACAGAAAAAACTATTTATTCAAGAACGATATAAAATACAATCAGAATTACGTGAGAAGAATATAAAGAGAACAAAATTGAATCGAAACATGCGAACACAAGAAGGAACGAATAATGATGATTAACATCGCTAGATGGAGACAAATGTTAATGCTAATTCGTGTATCGCTCTTATATTACTTTTATCTCCAATACTAATGTCATTTGTCTTTAATTGTTACGTTTAGCAAGTAGTTATCGGTAGCTAAACATCACAGAAATCTTAAAATCCCAAAGCTCTCAGCTATGTATCAAAGTTCCAAATATTATCAAATCCCAAAATCTCAAAGTTTCAAAATTCGAAAAACTGTCAAATCCCATAGTCGTGAAATTCCAGTTTGAAAAGTATCCAAAGTTGCTTTTAAAAATTGTAATTTTTTTCCTTTATCAGTGAAAGAGTCAGGACCTACATTCAACCTATTAATTGCGAAATTTATGTTAAAAATCCCGCACGAGATGCGAAACCAAAATCAGGCAATAACGAGAGGACATATCAAACGCAGTTAAATAAAATACAGTGCTGTTCGTTCAAACAGAAATACGTCCGGATTAATGAAAAAATATTTTATGCCATGTTTATATGCATACAATATGACCT